GTCTCAATTAAAACTTTTGTCAGGTTACTTGAGTGCCAGATAGGCTTTTCACTCCTCCATGTACAAGTGATTGAGGCCAAAGAGTCTCCTAAATATTCTTTCCTTACTCTGTAGGGGAATTCTTCAGTATCTTCCAGTAGCTTCAGGCCCAACTGAATTTGGTTTGGTACCCTTGTTGAACTCTTTAAGGACTAAAACTCATCTGTCTGTATATTTATTTATAGATTTCTATATATTTAGAAACTTTAATAAAAAGAGAAGAAAAACACCTGACATTTTTCAGGGGGGGGTTTACTGGTGTGGTGTTGCATGGGAGGGGCACCTTCAGCATCCTCTGAAGTTCTCATTCACACTGTGCCACACTCCTGGGCTGACACTTGGTGCAGGCAGCCCCTCTGGCCTTGGGAGATGGTGGTGGTGGAATGTGGGACATGTAGGCTTACTAATCACTCAGGTCTGCCAAGGAAAGTGGGAACAGGGGATTGAAATTTCATTACATCATTGTAACTATTTTTAGCAAAAAAGCTGAATAGCTCAGCACTCTGTTAAAAAATGATTAATGAAAAATATTGTGGTCTATATAAAACTGATTGTAAGTGATTTTCCAACTACTTTGTAATGTGTTTAGAGTTAGCTGTCCTTTTTGTTTTGAGAGCTACCTTACTAAAGTATTTGGTAGTGTAGCCCAATTTCCTCAAATTCAGATTTTAAAAGAAAAATAATTCCTTTCTTTCATTAGGAGAAAGTAATGGATTTTGAAAGAATCAAGTCAACACTGATTTGGAAGTTGGGCCCTTTTGCATAGGGGAGCAATCAGCATTTTAATTGGCAACTTCAGAGATTTTTCCCCTTAAATTTTTACATTCTGTTTTATTTCTACAGTTGTTTGTTCCTTCCTCTTTTTTTGCTTGGAAATTAATCATGCAGGAAATGATTAACCACAGTGAGTTTAGCTGTCTGCCTCTGACTCAATGTTTAAGAGGGAGGGCCTTCAAGCAGCTCAAAATGTCTGACCTGATACAAACCAAGCACTTGCAGTGTGGTTGTTCACACTGTCTATCCCACAATAAAGGTCATGCTTCTTTTTGTTTCATAGCTTCTTAAAAGATGTGATCATTTACACTAGAAATGCCTAACATATTTTTTAGGTGCCTAGAAAATATGTTAGGACATGTGTCCTGGGTTTTCAAGTACCAATACACCTTCAGCCTTGGTCTTTTGGAACCAGCTCCTTTTCAACAACCCTGCAGCACCAAGCATTATAAGAAACTTGGTTGTTAACAGATTTGGTGGGTAAAATTTATTTTTAGGTGGATTGGTTACTATTTCAGGTATTTTATAGGGTCAGTTGTTAGCAATTTAACATAATAGCCTTTTCTTAAATTCAGTTCTTTCCCACTGACCAAAAGCAAAAAATGATGCAAGTCCATTGCAGAAGTGTAGGACAGTAACCAAAGCTTTCCTCTAATGGCAGAGTTACACTTAACATCTCAGGACATCTCTATGGTCTGTGAGAAACAGTCATCCTGTGAGCTGGTGATGAACAGAGCAGCTGCAGAGTTCGAGTTCAGCATTGTGCTGCCTCAGCTGTTTTGGTTCTGCAGCCCAGGAGGTGCTCTCCTCCCAAGGGCTACTCCCAGCACTGCCCTGGGCTGTGAGAGTAAGTCACCAGGCCACTGCATCTCTTCAGACCATTGTTGTATTTTGTATAGGCTTATAGTGAGTTAAAGAAATAGACTGTACAGAATTTAACAGCCAAACACCAAGGATGAGTTGGAGATTCAAAGACAGAGGTGCTGTTTCTTCCTGCAAAGTTTCAGCTTGAATTTCTAAAAATCTCCTTTTTATCAGCAGAAGCAGAGTCAGTGACAAGAGTGAAACAGTATTGCAGCTTTGGTTTTAAATGAAAATTTGACAATCTAGGGTGTTTATGGGCTCTGTAAGTGCATGCGTGGTATGTTTTTGTGTGGGCACACAGGTTTCTCAGTCACGCCATGTGATCTCTTTTCTGATGGCTCCTAAAGGAAGTGTGTGCTCTAGAGCCCCATGAGTAAACAACCCTGCAGGATGCTCGTGTTAAACTTCAGGCCAGTTTTGCCAGAGTTTGGTTTATTACAGAAGCTTGTCCTGTGCTTCCAAAATGCCATTTTCCAGCCTGTCTCTGAGGGCTATAGGGCTTGTTCAACAGCAGCAAAATGCAAGCTCACCAGTGTGTACCTAATTTCGATGGCAGTTCAGTTGAGAGAGCCCTTCAGTGCCAGAAATACCAGCTAGTGTGCAGTGGTTGAGTACAGGAACACGTAAGGTGGGATAGAGAAGGAGGGAACACCTAGTGCATTTCTCCCCACTGCCTTCTTGCAAATCATATATGCAGAGATGGTTTTGGAGAAGCTGCATGGGTCTGTGGGTAGTGGCTTCCCCTTAGAGAACTCAGGCTTCAAGCATCACCTTACTTCCTCTTTATGCCACCAATTCCTTAAGAAGCTGATCTAAAACAATCCAGTTAAAAGGGGAAAAAAGTAGAACAGAGCAGCCCAAGAGGGAAACAATCTCTAACTGACAGGAAGGTAGACAAGTTATGGTATTTTACAGGAAGTGCTTCACAGACCACCTGGCTCACTTGCTGCATTCAGGTCTGAGCTGCCTTAAAGGATTCATTTAAAAGTCTGATATCAAACCAAACTGTATTCTGCCTGCTCCAGAAACTTTCCTGTGACTTGTGGAGTGCCAAAGAGACTGATGGTACGTTATCTAGACTGCTTTGACTTCCTAGCAGAGCAGTGCAGAGAGAAGAATTTCTCTTTTGAATCCGATGAAGCAGTTAAAGGCTTGGTGAAATACCCTTATGGCACAGTTAAGCTAGAGACAACTGCAGCTGTGAAAAGACTGTGTTAAGAAACAGGATGATTGTGGTCTACTGTAAGAAATAATTTTCCTGTTGACTATTTTTTTAAACAGGAAGCTGAAGAACAAAGCAGCATTAGTCTTGGTGCTTTTAATAGGTTTCAGATTTCAAATATTGCATTTAGAATATGCTGATTGGAAAAGGATAGGACTTTGTGCAGCTTTTATGTAACAGCTGAAAGCTACAAATATGGGAGATGGGAATATAACTAAATTCAAGTGGATCCTCTGACAATGAAGCTGTTGTTTCTCTGAGGTAGGTTAAGGTGCTCAGTAATGCAGCAGGGCACTGCTGCGAGCAGGCTGCTCTGTTTGCAGGACTGTGAATGCGTGCATTTGCACAGCACCGTGTAGGCTTGGCTCCACAGTTTCCTCTTTGCCACTCACTCTGTCTATCTGCCAGCTTCCCCTCTGCTTTGCTCACTCTCTTGCAGTAACTGGAAACAGTTTCTGCAGTATGGGAGAAGAAAACCTGCAGGCACTAGTGCCTCACACCACTTTGAACTCCATGACTTTTCTAGATGGTCAGCCAGAGCTATGGGTGATGCGTCTGAACTCTTTCCTCCACAAAGATTTTACACAAAATCCATTCAAGTCTTATTTCAGAAAATGTTTCTTCTGAGGAAGGTAACTCAGCAATTTGGGGGGGGGGAGGGAAGGGGGGTTACAGCTGTATTCTAATTCTTTTGGGGAGGAGCATCTGATGAGATAAATCTGTACTTCTAAACAGTTTTTTCTGACACACATATCATGGATCATGTCAGATGCCATTACAGACTTTGTAGGTGGTGACTCACTGCAAATGCCATTTTGTTTCATTCAGCACATTTTCATAATGTTCATTTTAACTGTAAAGGGTACTGTACCTGGTATGATGGTGATTTGACAGATACTGTGCTATCACACTTCCCCTTGGCCTTATCTAAAACATTTAAGTTGCTTTAAAAAGTAAGAGCTGTGTATGTAAATAACTGCCCTGGGGACCTCAGCCATCAGCCTGGGGTTGTCTGGAGAATTACCCTGTTCCTGTTACCATTGTGTTTACCTGTCTTATGCAAACATTATATAAATCACTGTTACTAAAGGTGGCTCAGGTGAATGGCCAGCATGGGTGAAAGCTCAGATAAAAAAGCACATGCTCAAATGCCATAGCACTATTAGAAATGCTCCAAAGCCCCTGATAGGCACAGTTCCAGCAAGCTGTGTGCCAAAATGCCACAAAAAGCCCTTGTGACTTGAAAATACAGTCCTTGACAGGACTTCAGGCTTTTTTTTGGTTGTTGTTCCATAATTTGGTTGCAGTAAATCTCTATATCTCAGGTGTGGCCCTCCTAGGATTGCCTGAGGCTGAAAGTTCAGGTTGGGGTGGGGAGAAGTGGGAATGTGGTCCCTGGCAGGGAAGGCTGTGAAAGGCTGAGCTTTAGCAGCCAGGCTTTTCTGTCTGCAGCCTGCAGCTGAGAGGCCAGGCTGACTGCTTCCCTTCCTCCTCAGGGAGAGTTTTGCAACATGTCTGTGTGTGCTGCTTCTGAGGAGGAGGAGGAAGGTGCATTCAGACATGATGATGATGGAGCTTGGGATATTCAGAGCAAGCAGGGAGAGAGGAAGAAGCATGAGTCCATCCCAGAGCTCTGCTGTTCTACTCTACCCATAACAGTGGAGGTGCAGGAATCTTTTAGCAACTAAAGGGATTTAATAAGTTGGCATCTCTTTCTGAGTACGATCCTAAAGTATGATGCCTTCTTGAAGTAAGGGCTCATGGTATAGCTTTGGGGCTATCCTGAAGCACTTCCATGGGAACAAGATTGTTGGTTACTGCATTTTGTGCACTGCCATAGCAATGCATGGATTGTGTAAGTGTTCAAAACTGGATATATATCTATGAGTTTGTGTGGCAGTGAGGATCATGTAGGGAGCCCCTGTTTAAAGATGTCTGGTTTCCATACAATTAAATAGAAAGTGCTTTTTGCTGATTATTTAGATTTCAAAAAATGTAGAATATAAACCTGTTAGCTGCAAGGATGTTTTCTACCTGAGTAGAAATTTATTTATGAAGATGTATTAATCTCTGGACTTTGTGTTTGTGTTTTGCTGTGCAGGTTTCTTAGCAAGAGCAGACAGAGCTCATCCTTCCACCATGCCTGTGCCTCCCCCTCCAGCTCCCCCTCCACCCCCAACACTGGCCTTGGTAAGTTTTACAGGAGGTAAACCTATGCACTGTTCTCTGCTGCTGCTTGTCACTTGGAATAGGACGTTCAGAGATACTGGGATGTGGATGAGGGTGTCCATGATATTTGGGGAAAGCTGTCCAACATATTGTTTATGGTTGATCATTGGTCCTGCAAGAACCACCATCACTTCTGCAGCCTTCCAGTTCTCATGTGGATGTCACAATCCACTCCAACTCTCCATCCTTTTATTCTTCCCACACTAGTGCCTGATCTGGTGGAGAGACAACAGCTTGTCTAATGGGACATGAAGTCTTGCTTTTCTCCAAACCTGTACTCCCACCTTCTCCCTTGTTCTACTCCAGTACTTCCGTGACTTGAGCCCCCAAAAAATAAATCCTATTGTTTAAATTTAGTAAGGATAGCTCTTAGCTAGCACAGCTCCCTCAGCCAGCCTGTACTATCAGAGCACAGGATCTGGCACAATGTGGTGGGTGAAACTACATCAGGCCTACCATAAACTGGGATAGAGCTTGTGCTTGGGCTGTGCTTGCCCTCCCAACAGTCAGTCGCCTCACTGACAAGAAGGAAGGCTTCTTGAGATGTCATTCTCAAGTACCTAGATATTTTCAGAGCAAAACCCTAGCTGACTACATGGAATGGGCTGTCAATCAAGAGTCTTTCCTTCATTTGCCACCTCAAGCAAGATACTGAGTCTACTTGGTCCTTCCATGACAACTCTCCCCACCTTTCAGGAAATCTCCATAACACTGATCTGATAAATTAGAAAATGTTTCAGGAACCATTTCCTAGAAGAAAGAGCCATATATATGTGCCTATAAGTGTATTGTTTGAAATTTTTTTGTTCTTTCTTGAAAAACTGTGTCACCAGAACACAAAGTGAAAAGAGAGGACTGTTGAGACAAATCTCATATGTCCCAAGGTGTTATTTGGTCCATTTGAAGAGGGCAATATTATTGAAGTGATAACTGTCATTTTTAAGTATTTCTATCTCAGCTAAAATATAGATGAAGGTCCATCTTTGCTCTGATTTATCTAGCAATTGTATTTCACCACAACTTTCATGAATGTCCATAACTTGATTGTCCACACAATCAAGTTGTGTGTAGTCTATTCTTGTTCCATCTCCAAAATGGCACAGATAAGCCTTGGCTTGTAAAAATGAGAGTTTCTAAATCATGAGTTCCATAAAGGTGAATTCACATAGAAGTTTCTGTTTCTAATGAATAATGTGCATTAGAATAGCAGTAGTGCTGGAGACTTCAAGTCAGTAACAAGGCCAGCTACCTTTGATATCATTCACAAAAGTAGACATGGCATGCTACCCACTCCAATGCTGTTAAGGCAGCCACTGAAGTCTCAAGTAACTACCATATTTAAGCAGAAATTTGTATCTAGAAGTTGTGGTTTATTTTGCCTCCTTATTTTTAATTTTTATTTTGCAGGCAAATACTGAAAAGCCATCCCTAAGCAAGTCAGAACAGGCAGGGAGAAATGCTCTATTATCTGATATTACCAAAGGAAAAAAGCTCAAGAAGACTGTTACTAATGACAGAAGTGCTCCAATCCTAGACAGTAAGTATGACTCTACATGTTGGAATTTCTGTGGGCATGAATGGTTCTACAGATCTGAAAGCAGAAAATTATTTCATATATCATCAGATGAATTGCCATGAGAGTAGATAAAAGAAGGTGCCAGAAATTGGCATGCATAAAAATAAATTCTATTCATCATGAATGAACAGTCAGCTGAGAAATCAAGTACTGCTTATGAAATGTGAATGCTAATTTGTTTGCTAATTCTCAAAAAGTGATTTATTTTCCTGTTTGCTTATATCAGAAAAATATGCAAGTCCTACCAGGAGTTCTGCTGAGGACATGCAGCAGATCAGGCAAACAATACCCCGTAAGGACTGAGGAGAGGACAGGAATGAAGTGGAATTTCAGACTCTACTTTTGCATAAACAATATAAGAATAAATGCATGCCTGGCATGACACCATTGGCTCCAGTACCACTTAGAGCAAAACCCAAGCCAGAAGCCACAGCTCTACCTGTGTGTCACTGCTGCACGCAGTTTTGCCCCTCCTGGAGTGACTCAGGGCTGTTATCTTTTTAGATAGCCCAGCAGTACTGCACAAGGCAGTGCTTACCATAATGGAAATAAGGTCTCTGTCCAGCTGTGCTGCTGCTGTGTCTCACAGCACACCTTGGCAGCTGCCAAGAGGAGGCTGCAGAAGCCTGTGTAGCAAAAGGATTGGGAAGGCAGAACAGAAACAAGAGAAGAGTGAGGAACACAGGCCTGTGCTGAGAGAGGAACAGCATTCATTTCCAAAGGAGAAAAGACACTTCTACAGACTGATTAGCAGATGTGATACACCTCAGTCTAGGTTTGGCTGTGCAATTAAAGGCATGGTGATAGGAACATGATGACAAAAGAAGGAAATGCCCAGAGGAGTGTGACCAAATAAAAATAATTTTTAAAAAATTAGATACAGTTCTGCAATCAGCCAGCTACAGTTTTTAAAGGTTATCTCTGAATGTGAAGTTACATGTTCTAGCTATTATGAGCTGGAGGGGATTAAAGGAGGGGGTAAACAGTAAGAGAAAAATGATGCAGCCTATTATCTTATTTACATGAATTAACAAATCATGATGAAAGACTAAACCATGGTAGCAGCATTTCTCCAGAGGTTCACACCCTATCTGAGTCAGAGCTGAACTGAGCTGACATGCTTAAGAAAGAGAAGGATAATGTGAAACATTCCCCTGTGGATACACTCTTACTTTTTTCTTGGGGAAATTTTTAGAAGTGCTTTTCATCCATAGGTTTTAATTACTTCAAAGTCACTGAAAATTTTACCCACACCAACTTGTGGAAATCAGGATTCCAAGAAATTAAGCAAGTGATCTTAGCCTTTGTGGCCCCGTACCTGAGGGCTGATAAAATAATTCCTGCCTATTGGAAACATTAGCAGCTAATGATTCTGTCACTGCACTTCTGAACCTACGGAAATGGCATCACCTTTGCTACTAGGCTTTGTTTAAATAAGTAGATATGTTGCAATATCATCAATAATGAGAGAATTATGTGCATTCCCAGCAGTGATTCCCAGAGACCTTCAGGAGGAGGGACCTTCTGCCTTCTTCCTTCCTTCCCTTTTTCCCATGAGATTGCTGTCTCTGCTTATGGAGAAGTAGAGGGGAAGGATAAGAGAGCAAAAGTACAAAGAAACAGGAAGAAGCAACTAAGGTGCTAACAAAGACTATATTATGTTCTCAGAGGTCCCATCCATGCTCAGTTCCAAATTCTCTGAGCAATTTGCTCTGCTCTCTAGTCTAGAGCAGACTAAAGTAGTGATGGCATGATAAAACACAGAGGTTATGGTTATTATGGTTATTGCACCAGCTCCTCCATGGTGCAGTGGTGGTGATGATGATGGCAGCTGTGATGATCCAAACCTTGTGTGTTTTGAAAGTTCATCCATTTTTTCCCCAGCTACAAGCATTACTCTAATGAAAGAGGTGACTTGGCAGGATCAGTCCTGCTTCACTAATATGGGGGATTTCTTTTCCCAACAGAACCCAAAGGATCTGGTGGAGGTGGCGGCGGTGGCTTTGGAGGAGGCGGCAGCAGCGGGGGTTTTGGTGGTGGCAGTGGTGGTGGCTTCGGTGGCAGTGGACCACCTGGCCTTGGAGGCCTTTTTCAAGCAGGAATGCCAAAGCTCAGATCTGCAAATCGAGATGCCGGTAAGAAAGACCTTGAATTTCCAGTGTGAAAAAATGGCATTGCTTAAAGCCTTCATAGCACGGCTTAATAAATTACCTGCTGGGATTGAGGAAGCCATCAAATATCCTAGGCTCTTAGGAAATGTAATTTTCAGCTCGAATCTGTTTTTATTCTTACTATTAGGTTTTATGGGGGAGAAGCTAGACTCCCTTTCCACCCATCCTCTTGTATTGATGAAAGCTAAAGATCTTGGTAGTGTTGAAAGTATAGTCAGGCAAATTACATCTTGCCTTAGCTGTTGGGTGTGCAGGACAAGAAGGGAACAGAGGAGGATCCAGGCTAATTCTTTCTTGTGCACCAGGAAAAATATCTACTTTGCAAATGGAAAGTACTTGTGTCAGCTCCACAACAGCATGATTTGCAGCTTAGGGAGTGCATGAGGCATCGCAGCTGGCTGGTACACATACTGCAGATGGAGGCTTGTCTGGAGTGTGCTTCTGGCTGACAAACAGCTGCCCCAAGCCTCATGCCCCTTTAAACGGGGACATCTGGGGTCACTGAGTTTTTTAAGTTCAAGGATATAGGATTTCATACTTGTTGAAGAAGGACTATGCTATGGAGACTATAGAGTGTTACAAATATTACGTATTTTATAGCCTAACATACTTTTCCAGCACATGTGTACAAAACAGTCTCTCAGAGCTGGTATTTTCGATTGTCACAGTTTATTTTTGGGAAGTTGTATTAATACAAAAGTTCCTGGCATCACAGAGCAGTACTTGTGAACTGCAAGGCCAGCTGCCTTCTTCCTGATGTGCACAACTACATCCTTAGATCACAGCTACTAGAAAGGGCTGAAAAGAGCTTTTTGATGACCTTTTGTTGTTAAATGTAACTTAAAGGCTGAGATTTCTTTGCTCTCAGGTTGATGCTGTTCGGTACTTGTTCCTCACCATTTCTTCCCTTCCTGTTTTACTGGTTGGTGTAAGATGGCTGCATCACTTGTGTTACTTTGTGGCCACTTAACTCGTGCCTCCTCAGCAATATCAGGATGTCGCCGGGTACCCTGGAGAGGTTTCCCGATGGTACCGGCGTTGGGGCTGAGCCTCAAGGCAGGGGTGCCCCGTGTCCGGCTGCGCCCTGGCCGCTCGCAGACCCTCGGGAGCCGCGGCCCCGGTGCCACGGCGCTGATGCTCCCTGTCCTGTGTCCGCAGACGCCGGGGGAGGCCGGCCGCCCGTCCTGCCGCCCGGAGGCCGCTCCGCCGCCGCCAAGCCCTTCTCCCCGCCGAGCGGCCCGCCGCGCTTCCCGGGGCCGCCCTCGGGGCCGCGCACCGCCACCCCGGACCCTCAGAGGAGTCGCGTGCCGCCGCCGAGGCCCGACGCCGGCTCGAAGCCCGAGGCGGCGCCGCCGCCGGTGCCCAGCACGCCCCGGCCCATCGCCTCCAGCCTGCACAACCGGGGCTCGCCGCCGGTGCCCGGGCTGAGCCGGCAGCCCAGCCTGGGGCCCTCGCCCCCGCCCTTCCCGGGCAGCCGGGCCGCGGGGTCGGCCGCGCCCCTCCGGCAGCCGGGCCCCGGCGCGCCGTCCCCCTTCTCGGGCCGGCCGCCGCTGCCGCCCACCCCGGGCCGGCCGGCCGAGGACAAACCGCCGCCCCCGCCGCCGCCCCCCGCCGGGCACCGGCCGTCCGCCGCCCGGGAGGCGTCTCTGCCGCCGCCGCCGCCGCAGAACAGCAAGCCGCCCGTGCCCGCCGCCCCCCGGCCCGCCCTCGGCGCCCCGGCGCCCCCGCTGCCCCCCAGCAGGCCCGGGCCGCCCCCGGTGCCGCCCGCCCCCCCCGCCGGCGGCGACGAGATGCCGCGGCTGCCGCAGAGGAACCTCTCGCTGGGGTCGTGCCCGGCGCCCGGCGGGGGCCGCTCCGGACCGCTGCCCCCGCCGCCCGGAGAGCGACCGCCGCCGCCCGTCAGAGACCCGCCCGGCCGCTCAGGTAGGGAGCGGGGACGGGGACAGGGGAGAGGGGGCTTGAACGGGACAGGTGGCACGGGGAGAGGCTGCTTTGGCCATGCCCATGCCAGTTTCACATGCAGAAAAAAAACCTCCCAGGATGACATCCCTGTTAGGCACTAGGAATTCTGCAGTTGGAAGTGAGGGTGTGTGGGCGTCAGGGTGGCTTAAGGAAAGTCAAAGTGCTCACGTGTGCTTTTATAGAGTTTGATGACTTTCATTATAGTCACTGTAATTGACGAGGGTTGCAAAGGGATTTCCCCATTACCTTCTTTGATGCAAAGCAGCTTCTGGTAAAGTGACAGCATCTGACTTCCTGAGTCAACCAGTCTGAGTTAATGGTTGCATTCTCGTGAGTGGAGGTTTGTGGAACCTGACCTTCTACGTGTTCAGAGACACAAGCGCAGTCAAATACAACAGCTTTAATCAAAGACCTGGCCAACAATTGTTAAATGTAATAGCACTTGTTACCGCGTGACTAAGTGTTATTACTTACCGTATGTACATATCAAATTAGACTAAGAGTAGAATCGTCTCCTTTGACCAATTTCATAATGTACATTGTCCTCTGTGACAACTGTTGTCCATAACTTTTAAGAATTCCACATCACAACTCAGCTCTCTGATACCTGACAGGCGTCCCTTGAGATGAGAGAATTTAGGCACAATCAAACCCTGTAACAGGTGGAGAAAAGCATCGCACAGAAGATACTGCTGGGAAATTCCATAGGGTTGCCTTTTCATTTAATCCTTTGGAATAAACTCAGAAATCATCTCTAGCCTGCCTACTCCTAGACAAGACAAATGAATGTGATGAGAGCTCCCACAGACCGCTATGTTGCTTTCCAGATCCTTGAACCAATCTGGAGCTCCAACACCTACAGCAGCTGTACAGAAAACAGTGGCTCTGTAACTGTGCTTTGTGGAGCTGGTTGCCAGCCTAGAGGATGGCACAATGCTAGTGCAGCCTGCAGTAGATAAATCAAAGAAATCCCATTACAATGGACCAAATTGATGGGTCAAAGTTGCAGAGAGTGTCTGCAATTATTCAGTCACTCTAAGAGTTTGTTCTGTGGTGACCTTGGCTGCCACCAGTGCTTTCCTACTTGACCCTTTTCTTTGGCAGATGGTTTTAGCAAACCTGCACTAACTTTCTTCTGGCTCAGTTCCAGCTCAGTAAGTAGAAGGAAGTTGTAGCAGTACATTCTAAACATGACTGCACCTATTCTGTAGTAGTTCAGTATAGACAATGGAGTTTAGCTAGGTTTAGAGAGAGCAAGCAAAGCTATTCTGAAAGTTGCTGAATGCTTCTCATTTTTTGAAACCATTCCCTGAAGGCAAACTTCAGTAATTTGTAAAATAAGAAGGGGAGCAAAAATACACAAAGTACAGCATGTTTCTTGAAATGTTTCAATGCTTTTTGCTGGAGACACAGTATCTACTGCTCTCTTTTTCAAAGTGCATGTCTGTAGATGGATTTCAAGACCGGGAAGCATTTATTGAAAATTAACGTAATTGTCAATTGCCCAACTGCCCCAAACAGAGGTAGTGAGACTTTTGAACATGCATAACTCTCCACACCCTCTGCTTCACCTTCTTGTGTCCTAACCATGGGCACTTCTCTCCCTGGCAGAAGCAGCTTTGCTGTCTTTATTTACTTGCCTTGTAGAAGCGCCCTTCCCCTGCCCTCAGGGCAGCCCTGGGTCTGTGTTACGTAGGCTGTGCCTTCATATTTGACCTGTCACGTCCGTGTCGGTTACAGATACACAAACACTGGAAGTGCCAGTCTATGTGTGAGGTCTGTTTCCAGTTTTCAGGGAGATGGATATGCTCCAGCTACTGAAAAACCTGTCATACAGCTCATTTGTTTGTAAATGAGTGAGCTGATGAGCTGCTGCTTCACGCGGCCACTCCCGGGCAAAGCTCCCCTGTGGGCACCACACACCCAGAGGGAACCACCCCTATGGACAGAGAGCCTCTGAAGGTAGCAGGTGCCTTCTGCTGCATGTCTTCTTGCCTTGCAGTGGTCCATAAAAAGGAAATGTGTTACAGTTTGGATCTCCTCAGCACCCTGAATTCCACCTGTGACTCCTGCTTATTGTGGCCATTGTTAATTTAGAGTGGTTTAAAAGTAGCCAGGACCTTTATGGAGGCTTTTGTAGCTGAGGGGAATACGAGTGTGGACACTGCGGTGTGTTTATGTTTAGATGTACCTGCTTCTCTGAGCTGTACTCTGCAAATCAGCACTAAATCCCTGGAGAGCCCTAGAGAGCAGGGAAATGGGTGCTGAGGGCCATTACCCCTTGGGTCCTGAAGCAGCCCTTTTTGTTAGCGGCAGGCCTTGGTATGCCAGCAGGGGCTTTCCACTGGGAGAGTAACCCCTGGTGTTAACAGCATCTGTGTGTTTGCTTCTTGCCTTGCTCCAGGCCCGCTCCCACCGCCTCCCCCCATCAGCAGGAACGGGAGCACCTCGCGGGCTCTGCCCAGCGCCCCGCAGCTGCCGTCCCGGGCAGGCCTGGACAGCCCGAGGGCCGGGCCGCGGCCTCCGCTGCCCCCCGACCGGCCCGGCTCCGCAGCGCCGCCGCCGCCACCGCCGCCCTCGGCAGCTGTCAGAAACGGCTTCCAGGATCCCGGTGATGGTGAGCCACCTCCCAGCTCTTTGCCCTCCGCAGGGAAGGTGTAGGGGCTTTTGGCCCTAATACCTCAAAGGAGGTTTGGGATAGAGACTTTGTTTCTAGTGGCAGCCTTTGGTTTCTGACCAACAGAGGTGTCACTCGGGTCTCAGTTAACCCTGGCAAGTACGACCAGACCAAATATGCTATACATAGAGCAGAATTTCAAAGTCATCAATACAGTCTCCGAAATAACCCTTTGAAAAATTTTTTCAAACCCTTTTCCCTGAAAAAAGGAAGGGAATTGTTTCAGCTCTAATATGCATTCAAACCACAGCTACACTGACACTTCGGAAGTCGGAACAAGTTCGATGACTCAAAGGCTGAAAAACAGATGAGGGAAGAGATTGTCAGAACATTGCTGAAAATGTCAAGTATCTATTTCTGCTAGTGTTTATTAAAAAGATGAGGTCCAAGATTGCTGTGTTTTAAAGATTCGTCATGCTTTTCTTTTTAATTGTTTTCTACTTGCATAGAACAGATAAATCCTTCAGTTAATTATGTAAGGCCAAAATTGGTATTCCTGACATTTATAAGGTTAGAAAAAAGCAAACAGAAAATGAACTATAACTCACGCTTTTAAAATATCTTCACACATCATGTAAGGCAGAAGGATCACAGGCATATTTCTTCCTACACAAGTCATTTGCAGGGTTCAGAACATGCAGCTGCTTTACACACTGGTTTCTGATTGCAGCCATTGGACGTGAACATAGAAAAACTGGATCCAGCAAATAACCACATGTACAAATGCCAGGTAGAACTAATTGAGCTGTTCATTACATTATGCAGTAAAATACAGCAATATCTCAATAAAGTTATGGTTGCAAAGTCCTGAAGGAAGCAAGTGAAGAAATAACAAAGTTTAAGTTAGCCCGCACTTTCTTCTTTAGGCTTTCAAAATCTGGTGCAGAACAGGGCTCTTGGAACATTTCCTATTATTTCAATGAAGAAACTGGTATGCTTTCTTTATTTAGAATTCTATAGACTCAGTAAGTACAGCAAAAGGGCCCCTGTAGTCTAAAGAGATATAGCTTCAAGTGATACATTTATACATTTTTCCATTTTTGACACTAGTTATATACAGGATTCTCTGTCATAAATTTTAGCATAATGGGTATTTTTCTTCTTCCAGTATAAATATTAAGAGAGAAGAAACAGTACTTATAGGAGTATGCTTTTGAGCTTGGTATATCAATGACACTTGAATATTGGTAAATTCTATACCAGGAGCAAAATACTGTTTTGAAGTAGGTGAAACAAGGCAGTTCTGGTAGCACATATGTGTGTGTGTTAAAAAAGCAGATCTGTTATACATGGAAGGGAGAGTAAGACTTATTTTTAGTGGAATTGTGGCTGTTTTCCTGATCTGTAATTTTGCATTAAACTGGCAAAATGATCGGCTTGATAGAAATTTTCATTCCCAAATTAACCTAAAGCATCATCTTCCCTGACTTCCTAAGAGAATGCTGGTTCAGTATGCAGCTGTGTAAGCATTTTGCAATTTAAAACATGCATTAAACATGATGTCAGTGTCAATTGACTTTCCTAAGCTATATCAGAAAACTAATGAGTAAATTGCATGGGATTTTTTTCAGATGAATGGGAAAGCAGATTTTCTTTTCATCCGATATCTGATTTGCCACCTCCAGAGCCATATGTACCCATGAACAGAAGTTATCCCAGTAAACTAGCAAGAAATGACAGTAGAGGTAAGTTGGAATTTCAGTGTATTGTCCTAAAATCAAGTGCATGGAGAAGAATCTGGATGCTCAGGTTTCCAGAGTTCTCAGGCTAACAGTCTGGTCATCCTTCCTCACCACACAGGAAAAGCTAAAAGCAAGTACAAGCCCTCTAAAACTTTTTGAGTGGGGAATTGTTTGTTTTTTAAGTTGAAACATGTACTGTAAGTGACCAACTCTGCCATTATAGTCAGCCCTTCTGCTCTAGGCAGGCAGAACCACAAAATCCCTCAGAACTTTCTCTTCATTTCTCATCTAAATTCATGCACAACTCATTTATTTTTGTGCTAGCATCATCCTTGAGTTTAGTTTTCCTCTCTCCTTGTGTGTTAAACTCTTCATGTTTTTTAAGACAACAGTCATATCCTCCTCTCAGTTTTTGTTTTGCTGGGCTGAATAAATATGGATGTACTACACTCTGCTTCCAAGCCATGTTCTCTGATTAGCAGAGCTGCTTAGGTATACACTTAGGTTTGTTTTTGTCTTTTCCAATCTGTGTTACATGCTTTTCCAGCTCAGGTTTCAAACATTCCTTCTACAGCAGCATGAAGGTTTCCTATCTTTTTTTTGTGGTATTTTGCCTGATACACCCAAGGATCAATTGCTTCTTTTACAACCAGTGACATTGGTGGCTCACAGTTATCATGTAATCATCTGTATATGCAGATGCTTCTCTCCTGTTTCCAGATGATGAAGTTTTGGTTTGAGGCAGAGATTCCTGTTAGTCTCTGTCTGTTCACTTTGCCCTGTTAGCTTTCATCCCATTTGTATTAGTCCACAAAGGAAGGCAAAGTAACATGTCCATTTTTTTGTGTTTTCATTTGTGAGTTTGATGTGAAGATTTTTGTATAGGGAAAATCATTAAGAGCTTTGAAATTTTAATGTGTTTAGAACTTGCCAGTTTGTTGAGATTTGCATGTATGGCAAGTAGCACTGAGAAGTTGTGTGTTCACATAAATTAGTAAGGCTAACAGGAACCAGCAGTCTGTTTTAGGAATGGGAAAATGGACCAAAATACATATGCTTTCCAGGCATTAGGGATAGCATTAGTTAAAAACGTTATTTTACAGTGTTCAAAGTTCTGATGTTTAATAAATTAACCAGGAACTCTACAAAGATTTGCTGGTTTTGTTTTTTTTTAATGGCCAGACATGAAAATTAGTAGATCTTCACCAGTTACTGAATTAATTCCTTGGATGTAAACTCCCCCTTCAAAAGAAGGAGTATTCCAGGAGGAGTAACACCAAAAACCCTTCTTTCTCTTTTAGGTGGTTCTGTCCGAAAAGAAAGAGGTGCCCCCCCACTCCCGCCTATCCCAAGGTGAAATGGGTTCTGGCCCATCTTTGGGTGACATCTGCTCTCAAGTGTCCTTCAAGTCAGCTCTCCTGTCCACATGACTGGAAAGTTGTCTCTCCTGATTGATTTCCACTTTTGGCTTGTCAGCTGGAACAAACTTCAGTCTATTACAGAAGTAATAGATGTGGCTTATGGACTATAGTCGCGCAAAGCTCTGACTTTTATTCGCTTAAACTGCAGGCATTTTGTGGACCCTACAGAACGTAGGTGCATCATGCTTACCATGTCCAACCCTGTCCCCTGGAGAGCTCCGTGGGAAGTCTGGCTTTGAATTTGATAGAGCTTGAACAAAGTTGTTTCATTCACTTTGGGTACAGTAGCTGTATTATTTTAATGATAAAGTATTTGATGCTTAAAAAAACAGTTGCTGGGTAAAAAGTGTAGCCAAGAGTCCCCTGGATCCTTCTTTGCATGCCTAACTCAGCCTATCTGCTTCTGCAAGCCATAGACCTACTACATGGTGACAAAGAGTTCATCTTTAACTTTTTTACTTCAGTTTAGTCAAGCAAATCTTAAACAATGCACAACACATCCTGCCTCAAGGATGGAGTGTCCCTGGCCTTGTTTTTATCTTCAGAGAATCTTCCAAAGAAAAGCACAAGTGAAGAATTCATCAGCATAAAAATATATTTTTTTAACCCTCTTTCCTATTTTTTAATAGTGTTATGTGTTCTGTGACCTAATTCTGTCCTACTCTTATGTGGACCAACCCACGTCATGTCATCCGTGCCTTGGATTGCTGTAACGCCCTCTGCCTGATAGTGCACGTGAGGAGTCCTCAGAAGGTAGTCTGAGTGCAAACACAGCAATTATTGTAGCTACAGGCTCCTCCTGTAAGGCATCACTGGTGCCAGTGCTCCACAGACTGCTTCCCAGTTGTTTCTTTGGTACAACTAAACGATGGGGTTTGACTTAAAAAGCTTCTTGGCACTTAGGTCACGAGTCTCAGAGAGCTTGTGTTTGATTTCCATTATGGGAGAGCGGCCAAGGTCAAAAATGTTCCTCAGTGAAAGCCCTTTGATGTTGTGAGAGGGGTTTGGGGGTTGTACATTCAAGTGGGAGCATCCCAAATTTGCTGTCTGCATTGGTTAAAGAGAAATAGAAAGATTTGGCTATGAAGCTTGTCCTTTCAAACTTTGCTGAAAGGAATCTCTACAGAGAGCTGCAAGGCTTATGATAAAAGAGTAAAGTATTCTAACATTGTGGCAAGTGGTTAATATGTTTAATGGCTTTTGAATTTTGTTTATGAGAAAAGAGCTCATTGTATGAGTGAATTTTACAAGTGAGTCTAAGTGTGTATAAAATGCCTTTGGAAATTAGAGGAAGATGATAATTCTGGGTTTGAAATATTGGTCAATGATAGCTCTTAATTGGACCTCTGAAAAATATCCTCTCAGTCTCATCAGCAGTATGTTTCTTCAGTGTTTTCCTTGGGATCCCTACCAAGCCTGTGTCAGCAGCTGTGCTTCACAGGGTGTTGCTCAAAAAAACCCAAAATAAAACATAGAAACTAGTCATGTAGGTTAAGAAAATGTTTCTCTAGCATGGGAGATATCCTAAGTACACTCTGTGGCTAGAATGAGGTCAGTCCTTGAAAATCTAGGGAATTTAGCCAAAGAGAGTCTGGACCCTGCTGAAAGGTCTGTAAATAGGGCTTTTTGCTCTGTCTGTGAGCAGGGAGAGGCAGATCCGCTTTCTGCCTGGCAATCACATTGAAGGAGATGAGACTAGAGTTGGATTTGGCCAGGTCAAATTTAATTTGGTCTTTTCAGTGTTTGTTTACAAAATCTTATTAGCTGTGACAGCATTGATTATGTACTTGTTTTTTACATTTTTGTATCTAGTGACCTATTTGTAGTTACTGTTAGTGGTCGTGAACCTGCAATGAAATGCGCAGGCGCAGGGATGTAGCTGCATCCAGTTGCAGGGTCGTGGCTGTAAGAGTTCCTTTAACAGATACTGGTGGGACCTCCGTGTGACAGGTGCACGTTGGGATCAAACCTGGCACAGTGCTGAATTTGTATATGTATTTTATGGATGTCACTTCAAGTGCCTGTCTCTTTGGGATATTATTTTGTGAATAGAATTCCAAATAAGATTTTTAGGCTAATAACTTAAAGGATAAATTATTGTATTCATATTTTAAAACAGAAGCACTTAATACTTTTCTAAGGAACAATAGTTTAAATTTAAGAATACAGTATTTTCAGTACCTTGACTTGCCAAATCTTTGTTAATATCCAAATAGCTATGTAGCCAAAAAAACCCCAGCCCTCCAGAAATGATATTTTTTTATAACTTACCTGCTTCCAACATAACTGTTTTACTTTGGTAAGTCAATGAAAATGCTGCCCAATGTTCTTCCAATACTCTATATAATTCAAAATATCCTGTATTTGATCATTTCAGCAAGGTTTTTTGACCAGAAATCTGGACCACTACCAAAGACTTGGAAAACCAGCTTCAGTTTCACTTTAAAAATGTGCTATGTAAAAGGCCCTAGGTTAACAAGCCAAGAATCCTGAGCTGCTTAGGTTTTAGAAATTATTTTTTACTCTAGAAAACTCTTCAGAATAGATGTTTGGCGTACATGTAAAATAGTTTAATACTGCAGAAAGGAGCATTTTTTTTCACATAACAACAGCATTTCCACTTATATGTTTTGCTGTAAAAGTCCCTAGATATATTCCAGAACAACGCAGCATTTTATCATTCAATATATTGCTTCATGTAGCAGTAGCTATTTACAATATGATCAGTATTAAAGTATTTATTTCACTATGAAGTGTTAAAAAAGAATAATACAAAACAGGTTGAATCAATGGTGCCTTATGAATTTTTTAGTCAATTTTTCTGTGTCTCAGTAGAAGAATTAATAGACATTGCTCTTCCAGGTCCTAAGTACACAGTGCCGACAGTAGCATTTTACAGTGTTTGAGCCAAGCCCTGCTGTGGTTTTGTGCTCAATCTGCCAACTCCAGGTGGAGCTCAGTGTGTGGAGAGGCCACTGGAACAGTGTGCAGGTGAGGTGTATGTGGGCACTGGGTGGCTTCACAATCAGTTGTTTGTTTGGTATTGCTCTCAAAATTCAGACCTGTCCCAAAACCAGTGTCTGATGCTGCTGTCCACGCAGCCCAGCCGACTTCAGTCAGTGTGGTTGCAGAGGTTCCAGAAGTAAATTGGATTCACTGCTTGCATCTAAGATTTGCTGGGTTTGTTTCAATGGCATTGTATTATAAACCCTCACACCTTAACCTGTCTTACGTTACCACTGAGGCTTGCACTGTGTGACAACAGCCACAGATGTTTGTTTTTGCTTCATTCAACTCCATAAATAAAATGAGAATAACTTTTGTACCATGTAAAAATAATTTCTGCTCTATATTTTTGGAAGAAAAGCATGTGTTATTTTTGTTAGGACTTTCTGCACCAGCCACTGGGAGAAGAGGTCACAGTGATGAATGTTCAGAGTTGTTAAAGGAAACTCAGCTTGTGATTCAGGAAGTGTCTATTTCTAAAAATGAAATAAATAACATGGCAAAGTTCTTGTTTAAAATCCAGCATTTCCCAACACTAAAAGAATCATAAGGTTTATTTTTTCTTTTCTGCAAGACAGCACTGTGAAAGAAGTTCCTTATATTGTCAGTTGAAAAACTGGGCAGTAGTTTCTCCTTGCAGCATCAGCTGTTTGCATGACACTTGTAGATCTGTCTTGGAGCAGGGGATAAAGGAGCTAAACTGCTATCATGCATCACATGTCTTGTAACACAGCAATCTTCTGTACAGAAGTATGGGAATAGGAACAGTACTTTTTTGCCTTGGAGATGAAGAATGGAGTTGAGTGATCAAGCAGATTATTTTAAGCAGAATGTCAAATGTTGAGAGACCTAGAGAGGGCCCCTTGGCCACAGGACACTGGAAAAGAGAAGATTGCTCAAGGAAATAAAAGCAACTGAATGTTGTTACCAGTACTAGAGTAAAAAATAGGGTATAAAATGTGCCCTTGGGAGTTCCACGTGGCAGTGGTGTGAACACCTTTGCCTCACAGCTGGGTGCAAGGACCTGACACAGCGGTACATTGACTCCACGGGACACAGATTGTGTGAGCCTTCATCTTTCAAACGGTATTCGGCAGAATAAGGAGAATCTCTCACCTGAGATATCCAGGAGCACTTTAAGGGCAAATTCATGGAATGGTTCTTCATGTACACTGGAAGAAAACAGGGATCTTGTAGCTTGTAAGATGGATGTGTTTGGACCATTCAGTTAAAATCTAACTGGAGCATTGGCAATGAGGGGAGTATTGGAATAACTCGGGCAGAAGCAGGGCATGTGTGTATGGTCTCAGTGAGTATGCAGCAGGTAGGTATGCAGATGTAAAAAGCAAAAATGGAAACAGCATGTCTTAAGGGAATAACCTTTTATGTATGTTGCCATTTTGAAATACAGTTTGTCTGTGGTAAATATTCCTGAGTGTAAACTAATGCATGCAGAGGAAGACATCTAAGTTTGGACTTCCAAAGCCACACAAGAGGGCAATATAAAACATAAAACAGGCTGAGCAAAAAGTAACATTTCTATCAGATGCGTAAAGTTTGAGTTTTTTATAAAATAATCTGGTTCTGTGAATTTTTTTGCTTAACCTTTATTTTGTAAGTGATTTTGTTATTTTTCTGTCCTATACCAAATAAATTTTACTTTTATTTAATTGTTGGTGCAGATTGTTACATTGAGGACAAACATAGTTACTTCTTTGACAAAAGCACTTGGCTTTAGCAGGAGCATAGCAGTGAGCCTGGCAGGAGCTGGGGTGAGCTGTTCCCCTCCTCCTGTCTGCCATGGGACAGCAGCACAGCGTAATTCTCAGAGGACTTTGGTCCTACATACAGTGAAGGACACCTGCAGATAAGGAGAAATAATGAGTTTACTTTAGGATAAAGAATGATTGAAAACCAGTGGTTTGTGATGCTGTACTTGTACGTGGCTGTTGGGTGAGCTGTGGCCATTGGCTCTTGGCAGGGCAAGCTAGGCACTTGCCAGGGGAAGATGACATGGAAAATCACTGTAGGTAAGTGTAGATTTTTTTTTATTGTGTCTCCACTCACAAGACAGAAAGCTGCCAGAGAATAGGAAACAAACCCTCCTTTTGACTTTGGAACCCTGTTCTTTATCATACACATTAAGCTATTCAGATAATTTGGACTAGGTTCATCAAAGAAAAACCCTTTTATCAAAGTCCACAGGAGGTTCAAATTCAAGCTGCACTTCCAGCTTCTTCTCAGAAGTTAGAAAGGTCATTTAGAAAGCTAAAAAGCTCTGTACTATAATTCATTTGTCTTGCAAAGAGTTAAACATCAGGTTTACTCTCATGCAAGTTGCAGATCCTTTGACATCTCTGGGGACTGCTTGTTGATACCTTCATTTTACAGACTGACTGAGACAAAGAGCACTTTCTTAGAGGACCATCAACCCTTGTGTAGCCTGCAGACCCTGCAATCCTGATGCCTGGGCTATGGAAACAGAGAAACCATGGTGGAGAGTGGGGGGAAGCTGATGAGCTGTTAAGGAGCTGGCTCAGCAGGCTGTGAGACCTTTGCAGATGTCAGTGGCAGTAGCCTTGATTGAGAACACAGAGGTATGAATCTGGCCATCAGCTGAAGGACTGTCTGTGGCATGTTTTACCAAAGAAATCGTGGTTTTTTCTAGTTTTCAAGAAATCAAACCACTTGCTTGGCTTCAGAAAGAGGGAACTGAGCTGAGCACTCTGTGACCTTGTCATAACCACAACATAGTCCTTCCTTCATTTAACTCAAAAAATGCTGTTGATTTAAAAGAAACCCATGGGCTACCCTGTAAAACAGTTCTGACTGCTCCCTGCAGTTGCAGGAAGGCTCCTGTGTTGCACACAGCACATACATAAATATGCAACTCCTTTGATCGTGGTTCAGCAGTTTCCAGTGACCTTCCTGCCTCCTGTGCACAGGCTGCTCCCCTCTGCCCTCTCACCCAGTCTGACTCCATTTTACACTGAACATAGTAACTTAGTCCCAGCAAATTACTGATGTCAGAACTAAATATTGGCCCATATATCTCTGTAAAACATTTAATATAGTATTTGGGTTAACTAATGAAATAGATCGATTGGCAGTCGAGCTCTTAACCTATCTAAAGATTTCAACAGCAGTCCAGGTACAGAAACAATCCTGAGGAAAGGATGACTGGCACAAAAATATTTTGATTAAACATAGAGAATAAATAGGGTGGTTGCTGCTAACATTACCTTGTGTCCAATATCTATCTGTCTACTGAAGAACAATATCAGATAATCTCTTCTTTAATCCTAAAACATATTTGTGGCTTATGATGCATGACTTCAGCAAAAGCTACATTCAAAATATAAAATAGCAATCTATCATGAAAGCTGCCTATATGATGCTGCAATAAGGCTCTTATCATTCCCATCATGTTTCTTCTTTGTTATTACCACTCTTCTTTTTCCTGCAGATAAAAAAGCTTTTTTTTCAAGAATGCTGAGATTTAGGCTACATAGATAATTTCTCATTTTCAAAATGGGATTCTTCTTGTTATTTATTTTCTTTTTCTTTTTTTGCTGGAATACAGGAGATGCCTCTGCCTAAACACCTCTAAATTAAAGGTGGACAGAGAGGGCTGTTGGTTGCTGTCCATCCTTTCTCTCTGCAAAACAGGAACAGGTGATCTCTCCCTGTAGTTAGGGCAGGGCTCTGTTACTGTGCTATGCCCTTCTCAAAGGGGACCACTTTGGCTACCTTTTGCATGTGCCCTATGTGCAAAAAAATTTTGTCTCCAACCCGGTGTGAACACTGTACACAATAAGGCCTGTAACCAGTTCCCTTCTGAAAATGTTTTTGTATGGATGCAAAGATGGCTGTTTAAGCAGTGGGTGTTGGATGTAACCCAACTTGAAGGAAGCATTCATGTATACAGGGATGTGAAAATGAGTCATTCCTGTCCTTCTCCTTTCTAGCAGAAATTTTAGTAAATTCAGAGTTACTGGTGAGCCCTCGTGTGCCCTGTGGAGCAGCAGAGCCCCTGCATCTGAAGGCTGAGCACTACCAAGCCATGAGAGCCAAAGGCAGCTGAAACAATCAGAGCACTTTGAAGAGAGCAAGGTAAAGGCTGTGGGTGAAAGTCCAGGCTGAAAGCCCAGCCTGTCAAGGTATTTTGATACTGGAACTAGTGTACCTGTAGATAACATCATTGTGCTGTTTGTCAGGGACTGCAGAGCCCATCGGTACTTTCTGTGCTGTCTCAAAACCAGCCCTCACTGCAAACTGCTGAAATCCTTCTGTTGAAGTTTTTTCCCCCTCCTTACTTAAAACAGAAACTTTCACTTCTGCTATTTGGCCAGGATCTTGGGTGCCTTATGAAACCTGAGAGCCTTTGTTTGAAATCAGACAGATACATGATCCTTTCCTCTTAATAGATACTTTCATCTCCTGAGCTGTGCCTGCAGGACTGCTGCTGTGCTTTCATCCAAGTGCCAGTCAGCTGGGGGGCTGGTGTGTTTGCTCCAGTTTATTGCTGATTTAGAAACAATACCCTGCTGTGTGCTTTAAGAGAATCACCGTATGTGCCAGAACCTTCATTCCTCCCTCTCTCTTACATATGGCCACTTCTGAGCAAGGGCAGGAATTGAAAATATATTTTTTGACTGGAAGCATGTCTAGTCCACGTCCAAGCGTGCATCAGAAAATGAGACGCCTTGTGTGTGTGTGTGTTTTCAGCCAGGCAGGCGGGCACAGGGGGATGCAGCCGCAGCCCGGCCGTTCTCTCTGTGCCGCGGTTGCGGTGCCGCGGTGGCCGCACGGTGTCGCCGTGCCCGCGCGGTGCCTCCCGCCCGTCCGGCGGGCCCGGGCCCGGCAGCGGGAGCGTTCAGCGCCGCTCCACGGCGTGGCCAGCCGCCCCTCGCCTGCCCTGCTCCCCGAGCCCGGCCACCCACCGCTGCCCCTGCTGCCCGTGGCGTGGAACTGCGCCGTACCTCGGGTCCCTTCGGCCCAGCGCGCTCCGCGAGGCCGCGCGCATTGCAGCGCTTCAGGAACGCTACGCGCTGTTTCACCACCGCGGTTTCACTGCAGGTGCATCCGGCCGACTCTTCACGCAGTCACACAGTTCTTAGGCAAGTCACATTCCTGTACTGGCATTAAAATGATGCAACAGAGTAATACACCTCACTACTCCACTGCACTTCAACAGAAGGCAGCACGCTATTAGACCTAAAAAAATCCAAGTCTTTAGCTTTTTTAAGAAATATTTTTAAACTTATTTTGTCTGTTTGTTTATTTAACTGTAGTTGGAGAAGGAGCTAAGAATTAAAACAAAATATCTTTTTAAATTGAACTGCTGAGTGGAAGTAACTGAGAGCTCTAAGGAAGCTACTCTGTCAATATTGCAGTCTTAAAATCAGTTCTTACTCAAATAGTTAAGAAAAGAAGTTCTTTGTATTGTTGTTGGCCATTAATTTAAATGTAGTGACAAACTGCTGAATATAATGAGGAGAAGGTATAATAGCTTTCTGCTGGACAATTCAGGAAGAAGAGGGCTTGTTAATACAGTTCTGTGAAACAAGTAGCAGGAAAGATTTAGTAGTGGTGAAATGAATATGGAATAAATAAACAAAAAACTATTGGATTTCTATCACAAGAGGCAACGCATTTCAATTTATACATTTGATGGACAACATTTAAGCTGTATTTGTGTAAGTAATAAATAGGGGCTTGCAAAACAGTGATGTGACCACAAATGGAAACTTAGTATATGGAGAGACTTTATGGAGATGTGGGTCATATTCTGAAAATATTTCCAAAGCTTTTAATTTGTGATACCAAAATAGGTTTTGTGGGTTGTTTGGGTTGGTTTGCTGGGGTTTTTTAGGGGGGTGGGATTTCTTTACTAATCAGTTTCTTGCTGAATAAGCAACAGCTGCAGCAGGTCACACACCAGAAGCAGCTTATTTCAGCACTGCAGCTTGCTTTTAAATGGTTTTCCTGAGCAAAATGGTTTAATGGTTTTCCTTAGCAGCGTCTGCTAAGGAAGCTTGTGTGTAGCACTAATAGCTCTCCTGGTTTTGTTTGGTTTTTTGGTGGTGGTTTTGAGGATTCAGGCCAAATTTGAGTGATCTTCCAGTGACTGAGCACTCAGAGTACTGAGAACATGTAAGTAATAAGCTGCCTATGCCAAAATGGGTGAAAAGGTTTTCTTAGGTTGAGGAAGAGCTGTAACTCTTATGCTCTGTTCTTAATAATTTCACCCCATACTGTTTTTCTGTTAGTATTTGAAAATACTATCATATAAATATTATAAAAGTACTTAATATTTTAAGTGTCTACATACATTAGACACAGCTCTAACCGTAATATGAGGCAAATGGAAAAAACTTGATAATGATTTTTCAACTAAAGCATTTGTAATCTCTAAGTTGAAATAGTAATTTTTTTTCTTTGACTTTTGCATATTTTTCCCCAGTTAGTCTGGTTAACTATGTAACTAATTTTTGAGTTTAGCACACTTACCTTCTTGCTGAGCCAGGTAAAATGTTGATGCCCTAGCATTAAGGATGGAATTTGTATGTTTAGGAGGTCTCTTCTACTTTGTTTTGTCTTCCCTGAA